TCTTTCTTTCTTTCTTTCTTTCTTTCTTTCTTTCTTTCTTTCTTTCTTTCTTTCTATCTCAGTTATTATTGTTTTAAAAGGTTTGTTTATTTGTATTTTATATGTATAGAGTTTTTGCCTTCATTCACGTAACTGTACCATGTACATGCAGTGCCCACGGAGACCAGAAGTTCCTTAGAGCTAGAGTTATAGATGATTGTGAGTTACTGTGTGTGTACTAGGAACCGAACCTGGGTCCTCTGCAAGAGCAGCAAGTATTGTTAACCATTGAGCCAATTCTCCAGCCCCTCATGGAAGGCCTAGTTCTGTGTAGTGGTTTCTTCACAGTGGGTTGATCTTGGTGCTTTTACTCATTTTGGAAGATCCTTCCTTGGGTCCCTTGCGGTACCTTCCAGTTTCACTTATGGTGCAAATGGGCTTCTGATGTGTCCTGGGCTCTGATATCACACTCATGGAGTCCTGTGTATTAGGGAATAATGTTTTTTCCAGCATCCTTCTCTTTCCTTTCCTTACCTGAAATGTAACCTTTGGTCTTTATTTCTGAACTAGATTTCAGTTGAGACTTTGGCCCTTATTTCCATGTTTGTTATGTCTAAGTATTATTTGTGTCTTAACCAGAAAAATCGTTTTTGCTTCTTTGTTGCCCTAAAATTTTTAGTTGCATAGACTTTTTAGCAATTCTTTTCTCTTGGAACTTTTTGTACTCTCTTTGATAAATTGGTAGCACTTTATTCGTAAGTGTGGAATCCAGTTTTTAAATCGCTGCCACCTTTCAAAAGCTATGACTTATCATGTCCTCAGGTTAGCATCACATTTTTTTTCTTTTCTAGTCACCCATCTGCTGGTCTGTGCAGTGGTCTTCTCTTCCATTTCCTGTATGCTCTGCCTACTCCTCTCCCACAGTCTTCCAGTCTTCTTTCTGTCAGAGGTCATAGAAGAAATATTTAGTTAGCCTCTGCCAAACATTCTGGCTGTGCTGTTTTCCTTAAAACAACTTGCAGATAAATAGTTTTGCTTCTTGGTCTCCATGCTCTAGTACAGATGTTTCTTCGATAACAGAGGTATTGTGGTCAGTTGAGAGGATGATGGACCATGTGTAGAGAATTGGGTCCTGATCTCTGCTGCACTGCTAATTTGTAGTTTGATCTTGTTCAGGGCACTTTCTGTACTTCAACTTTCTTTTGTCAAATGTCCTTATTTTATGGTAAAGAAGATGAAACTCTGTAAGTGTGAGATGGGAACCCAGAGTAAGCCAGGGCATCAAGGAGTGAATATAGACATGAAATAGAACCATTGCTGTGAGCACAGATCATCCTTAGTAGAACCGAAAGGTAACACAAATGACCTATGTGAAGACAAAGCTGGTCTAGGTAGTCATCTTGAAGAAGTAGAAAGTGTAATAATATGATGAACATTCTCTGACAAAGCTCACCTCTGGAGATGACTGGTTTGTCTACCCTGGGTTCACCCTGGATCATTCATTTGTTTGTTGTTACCTAGGCATATGGGAAGCTTGTCCTCTGTGTATCCAGTTCCAGAATTCCTCCTCCCACCTTCCACCTCCTTCACAGATTCAACCTGGACCTTCATCTGGCTTTGATTTCCCCATCATGTGGAGATTAGTCCTTGGAAGTTGGAGTTTCAGGAAACCTTAAATGTTTGATAACAAATGTTTCTTGATGGCTCCTTCTGTGCTGTACATGGCTGTGCTCCAAATCTTAGGCTGTGGAGGAAGCAGGATTTGGTTCTAGCAAGGAAAGGCAGAGTGTTTGGGGATCCTGTTACCAAGAGCTATGAAATAAGAGTAGACTAAAGAGATGAGAGATGCCTCTTAAGAACACCAAGGGGTCTTTGAAGCAGAGGTGGATGGTTTAGCTTCTGTTTACACAAACCTCAGCTTTCTTCCCCATATACAGCTGCTGACAAAAGCAGAACCTTGCTGTTTCTTCATCTTGTTCCCTTGTGAAATGCCTTGAGATTTACTCAGGTCTTGTCTCATTTAGACCCTTTTCCTTTAAAGATTTACCTCAGTTTTCATCACTGCAGAATGAGCCGGACCCCTGAGGTCTTTTTCTACCCAGTGACTCTATGTAAATAGCATAGAGGACACCCGTCCCTACGTGGTTAGTGATGGGGCTGAGGCAGCATGCTCACTATTCCTGCCCTCATCACCCAGAGGCTCTTAAACTGCTGAAGACTGCTAGAGAAAGCGAGAGAACTCCAGAATAGTTCTGGAAAGAAGAGTTACTCACAGGACTTCTGTATACTTTCAAGCAGGCCCTCTCTGCTATCCCACAATCTTTATCTCTTTTTCCTTAGGACAGTCACCATAGTGCTCGTCAAACTATATTCATTTACTATTGTATTCTATAGGCTCTGATTCCATCCTGACCATACCTTACCAATGAAGGTGCTTCTGGTCTACTGGAATTGTTAGGACTAGGTGACACTGATCCTATTCTTTAAGGAGTGGGCACTGTTATCTAACCAGCCCTAGGAGACTAGGAAGTGAATGCTAATGTGGTTTCTTCAGACATGTTTATAGTGGACACTAACAACATCTGGTTGAAATAATGGTTTGATTTGGGGTTTGGTAAGAGGCTGTGAGCCTATCTGACACATGGCACTTTGCCCCCATTCCATTTGTTTTTAAGTTGTTCTAAGCTGATGACCCAACTGGTAATTGTCACATAATGCGAGATGTTCCTTGTGGCCAGTCCTGTTGTGGGTAACTGTGAACCTCCTAATTCAGCAGTCATAGGTAATTATGTATTTTTTCAAATACTACTAACAGCTTTTTTGGGGGGGTTGGAGGGGAATGGGTGTTCTGCCTATTTGTATGTCTGTGTACAATATTTGTGCCTGGTTTCCTTAGAGGTCAGAAGAGAGTATCATATCCCCTGGGCCTGGAATTACAGATGTGTAGGTCCTGGGAATGGAATCCAGGTCGTCTGGAAGAACATGCAGTGCTCTTAGCCACCAAATCATCTCTCCAACCCCTGTTTATGCTATCCTTAGTTCTGTTCTTTCCTTTGATTTCTCATCTACTTATTTTGTTACTTCAAGAAAAACCTTCCTTGTTTATTCTTTTTTGATTATGACTATTCTAATCCTACCTGATAAGCTTTATAGCAGAAATACTTCTGAAAAGAAAGACATATGGGAATGGAATTAGACAGTGTAGTACCAGAAAGAAGAATGAAATTATACCATTTGCTAGAAAATGAATACAACTAGAGATTGTCATTTTAACTGAAATAAAGCCAAACTTAGAAAGACAAATATTGCATGTTTTCTTTCATTTGTGGATTCTATGTATTTTTCTATAGATACATAAAACCCTTTGTGTATAAATATAACATGGAAGTAGAAAAACTACTAGGGGAAGAAAGGAAACTAGTAGAAGGGAGATAGGGAAGAGGAAGAACTGGGAAGGTAGAGTAAATGTGATCAAATACATTGATATACTTGAAAGAAATGGGCTCTATAGACCCAAAGCATATATGGTGAATATGTGTGCACATGTGCACTTGTGCGCTTGTGAAATCTCAAAACAGCCACCAGGACCAGCACAGTGACACCATCAGTTGACATGCCAATGTGATGGGGGGAAATCCTACAAGGTCTCACTCCCACATGAAGAGCGCCAGGCAATTAATGGCTGCTGAGAGAAGGAGACTCAGTCTTCAAGGACAAGCCCCTGATATGTTATCCAGTCCCAAGTGGCCAATCTCAAACACAGTTACATATAATCAACAGTAAATGGATTCAGCATTTACTCAGTATTTATTTTTATGAGAGAGAACAATAAAGAAGAGGAGGTCATAAATATGAGGAGTGGTGGGGAGACACAGGAGGAGTTGGAGTGGGGATAAGAAGGGATGGAAATAGTATAAATGCAGTTCTCTTGTATGAAGTTCTCAAAAAATTAAATTAAAAAGTACTTAACATTAGATGGTGCTGGGCAGGAGAGATGGATTGACAGTTAAGAACAAATGCTGTTTTTTCAGATGACTGAAGTTTTGTTCCCAGAAGCCTTATTGGATGGCTCCAGCTCTAGGGGATCCAATGCCTCTGGTCTCTGAGGGTCCCTGCACTGATGTACATATACCCACACACAGGCATGAAGGTTTTTGTTTGTTTGTTGTTTTTTTGTTTTTGTTTTTGGAGACAGGGTTTCTCTGTGTAGTCCTGAACTCGCTTTGTAGACCAGGCTGGCCTGAAACTCAGAGATCAACCTGCCTCTGCCTCCCTGGGTGCTGCGAGTACACACACCTGTGTGGCACGTAGTTAACAATAAAAAATAAAATTTAAAAAAAATTTACATGGAGAGCTGGGCGGGGTGAGGGGTGGCACATGCCTTCAATCCCAGCACTCACGAGGCAGAGGCAGGTGGATCTCTGTGAGTTCAAGTCCAGGCTGGTCTACAGAGTGAGTTCTATGACAGCTAGGACTATGAAAGAGACCCTGTATCAAAAACATTTTTTTAGATGGTATGAAGTATTAATGCATTAGTGTTGCTCTGGAAAATACCCTGTATTTATATTTTTTTAATTTTTAAATTGTTATAATTTTTTGAGTCTCATGCTGGCCTGTAATTTGCTGTGTAGCTGAGGGAGGCTTACCTTGAACATCTGATCCTATTACCTCCATCTTCCGAGGGCTGGGATTGTAGGCATGGTTGGCTGTATTTTTTTTTAATATGGAATGCCTCATGAATTTGCTGTCCGCCATGTGTAGGGGACATGCTAATCTTCTGTGCATGTTTCCAGATTTAATATTTGTATTGCAATAGCAAGCATCCAGCTCTATCTTTTAATTAACCTGCCCTTCCTGAACTCCTGCGTGAGATGTGTAAATACTATGTAATTTTATAACTTCTTGATAGTATTTTTAGAGATATTGTTTTGTGTCTTTATCATGTAGAAATCAAATTTCAGCCATGTTTTTCAGTAATGAGTTTATCTGGGCATCCAACTATCATGTTGTCATTTTATAAAAGTAACTGACTAACTCTTGAGTCTCCTGTTTAAAGAGAAAGAATAGAACTTCAAAAGGATTCTGAGCACATGATAAGGAAAGTTTGACTCTTTCTCTGAGCCACAGTCTCTAGGCGAGAGGTGATAGAGATAGCCATGCTTAACTTTTCTAAGCTCTTCCTTCTCCTCCTGTGTGTCTTGCTGGATTAGCTACAACTGAAAGCTCCTTATTGAAAATTGTGATCTGACTGTGATAGGATCCCATTCTTCAGACATGCTTAGTGCGGGAATGAACTTTTCCTTCGATTTTGGACTAGGAGATAATCAGTGCTTGAATGCAAAGCTCCCAGCATGAAGTTTTATGCATTATCTACATGGCTCACATGCTGCTCACTTAGGCAAGCTGCCCTATGTGGAGCTTGCAGCATCTTCTTCTGGACTGAAAATTCAGGAAAAGAGAACTACTATTGAATAGATTCCAAACTGTACTGGGCTTCAGGTGACCAAAGTTTGTTCAGATGTTCCTGCCTGGGGATTGGCCTGAGTCCTATCTGTTGTTCCAGAGAAGTACATGGCTGATTTTTATCTTTCTTTGTCCTTCTTTCTGTGGGGTGCAGGATGTTCTTTTTTAATTCTTCTGTAGCTTTGTCTCTTTGAGAAAAAACAGCATGTATTTTGGCCTAGAACTGTGAATAAAATCTGTGTTCAGGGGCCAGGGTGAAACTAATGTCTTTTTTTAGTCACAAGCCCTCTAGTCCAAAAGTTCCATTGGCAACAGATAGTAAAAGACTGTAGTAGCCAGCTGCAGAAATGTATTGTGCAATTTTGAGGTGAGGATGGGTAAAATCCCAGGGCCCAGAAGGCAGATATGTGTCAGCCAGAGCAATGACATCAGCTAGTTTGCTGATGCTACAGGAAGGGGAGGTTCCAGGTGCTGAGCCACTTTCCTGCATGTGCGGTGTCTGGAGCCACCCTGGTTCTGTTAGCAGTTAAGGCCTCTGTCTGGAGAAAGCTTTGTTTAATTCTTGCCTTCTGTTTTCTCCATGGGACCTAAAATGGAAACTTTGATGGCGAGTACAACACTTTGAGGACTGGACAGCCTCAAAGTGTGTGATCTTGTATGCTTCTTGTGGTGATGCTAATCTGCCTAAGGTTTGCAAACCTTGTGAATATGAGTATCTTATATGAAGTGCAAAGAGGAAGTGTGGAAGGGGAAGTGTTGTCTGGAATCCATGTTAGGAATTGCCTTTTCCCGGCAAAGAAGAACAGTCTTAGACTTGATCCTTTTTTTTTTTTTTTTTTTTTTTTTAATTTACTTCTGGGAGGGGACATACGTGCTGTGGAGGATGCATCTGCACTTGTGTGTGTTGAGGCCAGAGGTTGGCATTTGGTATTTTCCTCAGTTGCTTAACGCTTAACTTTTTGAAACAAGGTCTCTCATTGACCCTGGAGCACACTGATTTGGCTAGATCAACCATTGAGCTTTCGGGATCCTGTCTGCCTCATAGCTCTGGAATCATAGACATGTGCTACTAGGGATCTGAACTTAGGTGATTGGGCTGGAGTAGCAAATACTTTGCCAGCTAAGCCATCTTCCCAGCCCTGGTTTAAATTCTTTATAAATTAATATTATTCAGTGGCTTAATATAACCATTTAAGCACAGAAGAGGAAGGCATATCTAATGACTTCTTTTCTGTGTCCAGCAGAGCCTCTTAGGGCCATACGTTGGGTGATATATTGGAAAAGGCGTGTCTTCAGGATGATCTGTCTATTCAACCTAGCTGTGTACAGGTGTCTAGGAACTGCAGTGGGGATTCTTGGGAAGCTTATAGCTAGCACTACAACTGCTGAGACCACAAAGAGGCCAGAACAGGGTGGGAGCCAGCACAGCCCAACTACTTAACAGCTTTGGTTTCCTGTCAGATGTTAGGATCTTCTTCTGGCTCCACCTGTTTCCCTGCAGATGTTGGAAAAGAAGCCTGGTGCACAGAAAGCGGATGATACTAGGGCTTATGCCAGGGTAGGGACTTCCAGCCTCTGGCTTATGCAGGCTCCTCTGCACCTGAGTAGCTATGCGTTTCTATAACCGTCTGGTTCACATTCTCGTGTGGCCACTGCTCACTCAAAGGCATGTTGGGGAGAAGCTCAGGTATATTCTGTCTGGGTATCTTTTTTTTCTCTTCCTTTGGCTTTTCACATCTAAGGACCTTTCTGTCACAGCCTCTGAGGTAACAAAGTGCATGTTCAATATCTAGTGCCTCTACTTCTGGATCTGGAAAACTGTGGATAAGCTCTTTGTTTCCTTCCTGGTCAGGTACTTCTTAGAAGCCACCAGCATTCCTTTCTGCCCAACTTTGCCTCCAGACTGTTTGAAGGACAATTGTTTCCTGCATCTGTGATTTGGAATGTTATTCCAAAGGGAGGGAGGGGTTCAAGGGAGGATGGGTTTTGGTTGGTTGTTTGTTTTTGTTTTGAATTCTGGAGCTAGGAGTTATCTTTGTGGGGTTATAGTATTCATTCTTATTTTGGGGAGGAGGTTTATCACTAAGGAGCTCAGTCTGTTCTCAAATTTGTGATCACTCTGCTTCAGCTTCCTGAGTGCTAGGGTTAGAGTAGTGTGCTACCATTACTGGGGCTCATTATTAATTCTTTCAAAAACATTCCCAACTTGCCTACCTTTCTTCCTGTCATTCTGAAAGAGATGGGATGGGGAACAAAGCCAATCCTCGATTTCCTGTGATCTTTTTTTGGACTTAAGATGGGTACTGCAGATACAGTTATGAGGAAGAAGCTGAGAAGCAGGTATGAGACTGTTTCTGGCTCTCATGTTGGCGTGCTGAAAAGTTTCTGTAACTATCCCCTTCCCCTACAGGTAGGTACCATTTTTACCTGGCTTCAAAGTCTTTGGAGGGCAGCAGCATTTACCTCTGTAAAGTAGGAAGGGCCCAAGAAGACATTAAAACAGAAATAACTGGAGGGATAAGCCCTTCCAAAGAACTGGAAAGGGTAGTTAATCTGGAGGGAATGGTATTAGGTGTGGAGAGTGGGGAGGTGGGTTTGGGAAGGCTTACTTGTGTCTTGGGTATGATGCCCAGGAGTGCCTTCCTCAGGGAATTGAGTTGGTACCTTGCCTGGCCTTCTTGTCCTGTCCCCACCAAACACGTGTATGGTTTTGGCCTGTAAGGGAAGTCTTGGCAGAGTGCCATGGGACCGAGCCACTAGCTTTGAGATTAGACTGGTCAGCCTCAGTCTGCCTCCCAGCTTTTTGGCTGCCTTAATTACGAAAAACTTCTTGGAAGCTCCCAGTCCTCGCTGACTTGGCCTGTGATGGTGTCTTGCATTGGAAAGGTACATATTTCTTCCCACACATGCTCTGCATCTTTGGGTTTTAAAAAGAGAGGGATACACTGAGGTGTGGTGGTGCATGCCTGTTACTCAGAACTTAATGCAGTATAATTGTGAGTCCAAGGCTAGCTGGACAAGATAGCATCAAGTACTAGACCAGCATAAGCTACACAGGGAAACCTTGTCTTAAAAAATTAATAACAACTGGAGAGATTGCTTAGTGGTTAAGAACACTTGCTGAGGACCTAGATTCGATCCCTAGCACCCACATGGTGGTTCACAAACAATTGCAATTCTGGTTTCAGGAGATCCGATGGCTTCTTCTAATCTCTGCCAGCACCAAGCATATGTGTGTTATAATACATGTATGTAGACAAAACACTCACATAAATAAAATGAATGAATGAAATTTTTTAAAAGTTGAGGCTGGACCTGATAGACTAGGATCAGAGGGAAGGGCAAGAGGACCTCCATTATCAGTGGACTGGGAGAGGGACACAGTTGGGGAATAGGGAGGGGAGGATTAGGAGGGGAGGAGGGAAGGATACAAAGTGAATAAACTGTAGTTAATAAAAATAAAAATAATTAAATAATAAAAAAAGTTGAGGCTGGTTCGTGGTGTATCTCAGTAGAGTGCTTGCCTAGCACATGTGGCCCTGGTTGGATTCCCAGGACCGCATAAACCAGATAGTTAAGTATGCCTGTAATCTCAGTATAGGGAAAGTGGAAGCATGAGGATCAGAAGGTCAAGGTCATCCTCAGCTTTATAGTGAGCTTGAGGTCATCCTGAGGTACATGAAACCTTGTAGTAAGGAGCTTAATTTGAAACAGACCTTGAGAAAGGGGCTTAATTCAAAACAGAACTAGCTCAGGGTTTCCATCTGAAATGTGTATTGGAAGACTCCTACTAGTCTTGACTTTTCTGTCTCTTCCTTCCCTTTATCTTCCCACCGTGGTCAGAAATTGTGGACAGCTGCCACTATCAAGTAGGCCCATCAGAATGTTAAGAATGGAGCTAGGTACAATTCCACTTTGCTTAGAGTGTTTGGGTTCACCTGTAGAGCTGGCAATTTAACCCTGGGATGGGGCTTTCCTCCCAAGAGTGGGTGAAAGCAGGAAGGAAAGAGTAAGAAAGTGCATCAGGGTCAGGATAACATTGAGTCTGTGTTCTTTCCTCCCTCCTGTTCTTCCAGCATCATCACTGTTGATAAGAAAACAAGAGAAAAACAAGGCCTTGCTATTTAGTCACAAACAGTAAACAAGCATTTGCTGACTTTCTTAGCTTAACCGACAGTGTAATACAGATACTTTATAAAGCTTGGGTTTTGGCAAGACTGAATTTAGTATTTACCCAAAGAGACAATAGTTTTTAAACAAAGAATACCCAAGGTTTTAACTTGTTGGTTTTTAACTACAAATATCTTTGCAGTTGGGAAACAAAAAAGTTGTGTCTTAAAACCATAGGAAAGCTTTCT